CCCTTTTTTTTCTTAACAAAAATGCTGTCTACTCACACTGGCAATGAGTTTATGTGTAGAATATAAATATATACTAGAGAGAAGACCAAGAGAGAGATGCAATAATAAGCTTCAAGAGTAGAAGGTGTCTAAGAAAGAGAAGAAAATAAACTGTTCTTGTCATCCCTAGATAGGACAAGAAGAAATCAATTTCAGTTTCACAAAAGGAAATTTAGATTAAGAAAACTTTCTAACATTGAAAATCGTCAGCACTACAACAGATTGCTTACAGAAATTATGGGAGTTTCACCACTGAAAGTTTTAAAATGCTTAATGTATAAGCCAAACTTTATATATGAAAAGCTTGGTTTGCTACATGCTGCCTTTTAGCAGCGTAAAGACAGCTATCTTTCCTCCAGATCTTCCCACAATTTTAATAATAGATGTACAGGATAATTCAGTATGGACATAACTTAAAATACACCTCTTACCTAGGTTGTGTAAAAATGTATGTAATTAATCTCAGTGATTGGGAAGGTTTTCTAACATCTCTTTTTCTGAAAGTGGAGGTCACAGTGGCCTGGTCTAAATTAGCACTTGTAAGTCAAAGCTAATTATTGTTCACACCTTCCTTTTTATTTATTTATTTATTTTTTTCGTTTCTCATAAATATGTGCCCTATGCAAACCTGATCCTTGCCAGGACGTAAATACTGAAAAGCCAAAAGAACACATGCTGCTTACACATAGGAGCAAGCAATGGCTGGAATGCGGAGCGTGCGTCACACACATGCTGCAAACTCCTGCACAGCAGGCATCCCCATTTTATTTGGGGGAGAAAAGCACTGGCAAGACACCCCAACTCTCCATAATAACAAAATATCAAACCAGGCATGGGAGTTTTGGGAATATGTTGTTTAGACCAATTTGAAATAGGTGAGCCTGGTACTGTACTCTCCAGATAAAGTTCAGTTCAGCATATCCCGTTGCACAGTTTACAGCCCCAAAAGTTGGAATTAGACTCCGGGACTCAAACATTTCCACTTGTGCTCTTGTTTAAATGGCTGATGCCAGCAGCCGTAAATTTACGAGGTGCTCTGTCTGGGCCTTTAACAGTTAGGAAATGTGAAGAACTGAGCTAAACTGAAAAGACTCAGGTTAAAAATTAGGGGGGGGAAATCCTTATAACACGAGTCCAGTAGAAGAAGAGAAGGTAAGGCAGGGCACTTAGCATCTGAGTAGTAGTGTTAGAGGACCGAGAACTGGTGAAGATTGAGTGTACGGCTGATTTGAGCAGAAAGCAGTTCTTGGGCTTTCTTTGCACTGATTAGCTCTCACATCTGAAATATATATTAAAAAAGCAAATATTAGCTCTTTTTACTGATTATAGACTGTTTGTATGTTTTGGGCTATTTATTTTTTTTTAAGATGTTTTACTCTTATATCTCTGAGACTGACATCCAGATGCTGCGGAGCTTGAGGTCCTCCTGTCCTTCATAGGTTTTGCATTGGAACATGCTAAGAGCTTGGTCTGGGCATTTCTGAACCTGAGGCTTGTTCAGAAGCAGAGAGCTAATGGAATTGAGGTAGCAAACTGGCTGGTCGGTGGTAATTTCCTAATGCTAGCCAGGTTTTCACGTTCATATGTCCAGAGAAAATAACACTGACCACAGTTGGAGTTCAAGAGAGAAAGCAGAAGGAAGACTTTTTGCCTCTCTAGTCTGCCTAGTCTTCACGTTTAATCCCTTTATCAATTTCTATGCATCTAATGGCAGAATTTGAACCTAAATATGTATCTTGTTCACAAATGTAACACTAATACTAAGTATGGAGTTTTATCACATCTCTTGCAGACCTGTTTTATGATGTCTGTAGAGGTGTTTAAAATGTGAAAATGACAGGAGTAGCCAGAGTATTTCTCTCAAACTTTAGGTGCTCATATACTTTGAAAATTACACATGCTGCTTTAAGGTCTTTTCCTACTAAACTTGAAAGAAAAAAGAAATACAGTTGTATTATTATCATTATTATCATTATTATATCAGCCATTTAAAAGAATTCAATACCAGCTGAGCAGCAATTGTATGGAATAAATAAAATTCTTGGCAGATTATTAAATACCAAGAATTATCACAGTTGATTAGCACTATGTTATATAGCACAGGTGTTTGTTACTGTGTGTAAAAATTCCCAGTGTTCAGTATCAGCCTTTGGGCTGATATTGTCAATTCCGTGACCTAGTGGCGTATTGCTAATATTCTGAGGTATTCTAATATTTCTTTTGCACCCTGCAAAGAAAGAAATGTTCAAACACTCAAAATAATACTATTTTTTACAGAAGACTTTACCTCAAATAATTGACTCTCATTGAACTCCTGAGAGGTATTTGAGCATGTATGAGCATCTCCAGTTTGCAGAGCAAGAGGCAGGGCTCACAGATTCCCAGCTCTGAAGAAGTTACTGACAGGAGCTTGCTGAGTCCTGAAAGCAAGCTGCTGTTACATTTCTTTCATTTGTTCCTCTTTTCTAACCACTACACGGCAGTTCTCTCTTCCAGCTCACTTCAGAGCTAGCACACACTGGTGAGTTTGTAAGGAAGCATTTTTGCAGCTGACTTTTTGTATTTTAAACGTGTCTGGCATTTTTGCATGTCACGGCATAATATTAAATCAATAGGACTTTACAGAAGATACCTGCTAATAGGATCTTACCTCACAGAGGCTAAAACTTTTATTAGTGTTTATAGTACTGGTTTGAGGTATTACATGTAACGTTTCCCTGGACAACTGTTAGAAGAGATTTAAATGTTTAACATATGTGGCTGTGCGCAGTAATATAACACATGATTTTACCATTACTATCTGTATCTCCTTTTTTATCGTTTCCGTGCATTTACAAAATAATGTTCCTTTTGGAAAGGATCCTGGTGGCTGCCAGCTTTCCCTGTGAAATCCCCCTGAGCAGGAGCCCTAGCTGGATGGGTGGCGAGGTACAACAAGCCTTTAGCCTTGTGTTTGTGCAGGGAGCCTGGGGGTAAGGAGAAAGCTCTCGGTGAACTTTTGCCTGGATGCTTCACCCAAGGTAAATGGCTCTTCAAACCAGGGCCATTTTACAGCCATGCAAACACCTCTCCTGTAAGGGTGCGTCTAACGGGCTTCTGCAGATGTGAAACTGTCAGGAGGGTTTAGTTTATCTTTCTAACAGAGATGAATGGAAGAAGAAAAAGGGGTTTAAACATAACCGCTCTCTGTAGTAGACTCCATGATATTCCTTGCTTCAATCTTCTTTTCTTCTACTTTTTTTTTTTTTTAAACTGCTGTCCTGTATATTATTCTTTCCATGAAATAGGGATCTCTAAACTCTCTTTTTATTTTCATTTTTCCTGTCCTGCTTCCTATTTTAAAATCCTTTAACCTTCTCAATCCACCCAGCAAACATGCTACGCACAATAACATGTGGTGGTCACCTCTTGGTAATGTCTGTTATGTAAAGAAAAGATTTCATTCCACGTTTTAGGGTCACACATGGACACAGGTCACCTTTCACTCCCAGTAAGACGCTGCTCTCAGGAGGTGACAAATGTACCTAAGAACTTTTTTTCCTTTATTAACCTGTGGTAACCTGAGAACAAGCTCCTGAATTAGCTTATCAACACTGTCTATATATTGATTCATAAATGACTGTGAGAGAATGCCTTTGGAAACTTTTAAAAACATCAGCTGTGATTGGCTGTAAAAGAAATCCTTGGCACCAAAAAAAGTAAGGAGAAGGCTTTTCATATGCTTCAGTTTTTGAGCAGAACTGATTTACTGATTTTGAGAGGATATTTGTTGTGTTAGATATTCAGCACTCAGTACATGCTCTACCACGTTATCCCTCACACTCCTCATTTAAAGATTGGAGAAGCTGAGGCTGATAAAAGAAATAAATCACGGGGATCACAGAAGAAGTTCTTGATCCTTTGAGCAGAGCAACTGTCTGTCTGTCTTCCAACCAGCGGGCTGACTTTCCTTGTCGTTTTCTGTAAGAGGCACTGTACCAGCGCAGACTGACCTACGTGTAGTCAATCTGTGGCAGTCATTTGTCCAAGGTAATCTTTTCTTCGTATTTCAGAGACAGCCTTTTTCCCTCAAGGTGATCCATACTAATGTGTGTTTTGTTCATGTGGAGAATGGTTGACTTGAGATGAGAATTTCCAGTTTTATTATTATTTTTTTTTTAGATCTGCTTTTATTTTTCCATCCAACATGAAAAATGACCAGCAATTCAGACCTACGCCGAGGGGAATCTTGTTCCCAGTCATGCTGATTCTTCTTTGTCCAATATTGTCTTTCTGGAAAAAAAAAAAAAAAAAAAAGAAAGCCTTTTGCAAAAGCAAAAATTAAACAAACGGTTTGAATTATGAATACTAAACACTGGTTTTGAGACTTTTACTGGCAGGCAAACAAAGCAAAGAATAGAGTCTCTCTATCAAACTTTTTATTTTGGAATTTAAATGACCAGATCATAGTAAAGCCTAAGAGCTTCTTCAATTGTGGCAAATTAGTATAGTCTCAATAAATACAGAAGTAAATGAGATTTTGGCTATGAATGGAATTGCTTGTGTGGAGAGCTGGCTATAGGGCAGAGAAAAAACTCTGACTTTTTCAAGTATCTGCATTCCAGCATCTCCTTCTTTTACTTTCTTTAGCTATTTGTTTTTAACAACTCCATCAACTTCCTGCCTGCCATAAGAGACTTCTCAAGCAATAGAGGCTTTCATCTGAAAAGCTCACCTTAAGACATAGCAATTTCAAGCAGCCACATTTAAGGTCCCTGTTAGGGCCCTTATTCTCTTCAGAGCAGGGATCACGTTACATACTAGGCTTTTGAAAAGCAGCAGCACCACTGCCAAGGCGTCTCTGCCCTTAGAGGCTTCTCACATATCGTGTAGCCTTTTTGCTGACAAATTCCTTTGGAGTGCAAATAGTTCTGTCCCTGCTAGGGCTGATGTCACTGAACCGAGTGCATTTAGGATGCTCACCTCTCTATTTGCTTCATTTGGAAACAGATATGTATGTAAAAAAAGAATGGATTCAAGGCGCTTTCCTTCCTAAATAATTCGGGTGTCTCTTCCCTCTGTTTTAGTCAAATGTATGAAAGTAGTTTGTTAATTAGTTGAGCTGGAGTTGCCAAAGTAGCCTGTATACCTGCGCAGTCTGGATGGGAAGCCTTTGCAACTGCTAGTGTCCTCAAGCAGCCGAGCATCAGAGCATTTTCTCTTCCTACACAAGCCAGCAAAATGACCACATCCAGCAGGCAGAGCTCTTCTACAACTAAGGTCAACAACTTGGCCAAAATATTTGATCCAAATGCTTTGCAAAACCAAGGGCCTGATACTGCAATGGAGCCACCCAAAATTCTTCGTGTTGAAAGCAGTGATGTCAGCACATCTGGAAGTTTTAACATCATGGATATGAAGTTTGCCTCCCTTGAACAAAAAATAGATAAGCTGTTGACTCTGCAAGACAATGTCCTTAAGAAGCTTAACAGTGTTTCTCAAGAAATCTGTTGCATAGAAAAAGATATTGAGATTGTAAAAGCAGAGACATCTGAACCTGGATCGAGGATGGAAAGAAACAAAAGTCTAAAAAGTAATGAAATGAAGAGGCTTTGCCTTAAAATGAAAAAATCTCTTTCTGATATAAACAGGAATGCAGAGCAGCAAGTTAAAAGACTAGATGGACTGGAGCAAAGCGTTTCTGGAATACAGAAGCTCGTAGGGCCTCTGGCTGAAAAGGTTAAAACATTAATAATTCATCATTCAAGCTTAAAACACCATGTTCAAAAACGTAAGCTTTATAAGTTTGGTGATTACACAAAAGGAGCTGGACATGGTTTTGGGATGCAGATTTTCTCACAGACAACAGCTGGTGCCCTGCTCAAGAAGAAAATTGAAAAGGTGAGCCTAGGTTTGTTTTTTGTCTTGTCAAGAATCATTGCAAGCCACAGATATGTTCTCCTGTATGCTTAGCTCTGTCATTTCATTAACATTTAAGTGAGAACAACCCATATGCTTTAAAAAGGAAACATATTAGAACAAACTGATCAAGTTTTGGTGGAAAAGATACAAAAATCTACTTGGTGATAACCCCGTTTGTTTTTTTCTAATAATCTCTTTACAGTTATAATACATAGTTAGGGGTCAGTGACAAGATAGTCACAGAGTTCAGTGGGTTTGGGTCCTGGGTATACATTTGACTGTGATATTCACCAGATTTATAATGATCGGGGGAAATCAAGTTGCAGGAGCCATGCTATATGTCACGTAGTCTACACTCAGTGAAACTGATGAAAAACCTTCCGATGACTACTGTGGACTTTGGATTGGGGCCGTGCATGTGTATGATGTCCTTTATTTCAAAGAACAACTTAAGTGTGCTGTTCCGATCTGGTATTTCTGCTGACATCAGTGGGGAGGGAGGGCTTCTAAACTGGGATCCGAGGTAAGGTTACCGTAACCGGAGCTGTGGCTTGTGTAAACTTCCTCAGGGGAAAAAATGCCTGTGTCACCGTAATGGGAGTTTCGTTATGTTCTTTACAGGCCAGATTAAGAGACCACAAAAATCTCTTGAAAGGTTCCATTGAGTAGAACAGGCCCTTGTAAGGCAGTTTGACTATTCTTTGTTTGGTAAAGAAGCCCAGTAGCACTAGAAAATGAAGGAATTTCTTCTAACAAAGTGTGCTGAACTCAGAGTGAACCAAAAAGGTTGCCTTCCATATTCTTTTTCTGCTTTGCTTTATTTTTCCCCCTTCAAAAAAAAAAAAAAAAAAAAAAAAAAAAAAAAAAAATCACATACAGTCTTCACTGTTTGATAAACTTAAAGGGTTATTTAGGGAGTTTGGTTTTCTAAAGGTTTTGAGCAGGAGAGACACCATGTGAAGTTATCACTGGAAATGGCCTCCCTTGAAGACAGAAGCACCCAGTATTGCCCAGCTGGCTTACTCGTAGGCAGCCCCACTTCTCAGCTAGACCAGAAGCATTTGAGCCCTCCTAGGAAACTTCACGATGGCCGGTGCTGAACAGCAGCAGAGGAGCACCTTGTAAAGCTCCATCCATTGAAGTGTCTGCTCTGCCACCATGTAAGGATATAACATGCACAGCCCTGTTCCCAGAACAGCGGTGACTGGGGGGAGAAGTTGCTGCCCTGCCAAAGGAGACAGGCAATAAAAGTGATTTTTCACAGGCCTTCTTTGAACATCAGATCAGGCTGGTTTCAATGCGGGAGTTTGAACAAACGAGAAGTTTCCTTCTTTTGTGCCCTTACCTTGATGAGCAAATATTATTTATTTTGCAGTTAGGGCTTCTTTTACTTTTTTAAAACACCAAAGAAGACATCTGTTGTGAAAACCCCATGCACAGAGAAGACATCTGTGCAAAGCTGTGATCACCGCAGCCTGAGGCAGAGCTCTGCCTGTGTCAGTGACAGAGGCTGTTGTCTGCGGTAAAAACACAGGGTAAGAGAGAGGAAGGGATCGTGCTGGCTTTTTGCTGGTGGTAGACTACTAAAAAAGACTCAAAAAGGGGAGGGGTGAGTGGGGTTGCTGTCTTTGTTCCAGCAGCAGCTCCATTTGTAATCCCCTTGCTAATTCAGTGCTGTTCAGGCAGACTTTCGGCGATGCAGAGTGGCCTCAGTAGGAGCTTGTCTAGCACCAGGGCTTAGCAAAGGCAGCAGGAGCACGTCTGGAGTCATGCTGGTGATATTATTACTCTGTTAATATTTTGTTTGTTTTATTAGATAGCATACATATGTTAGCTTGTCATTACCTTCCTCTCTGTGCGTTTGATTTATTAGTAAAGGACCATCATAAAATTATCAAGCTATCTTGCGAACAACAGCTGGCTTTAGTAAACACTCAGTCATCTTGGTTTTAAGTAAAAGCAGACTTGAATTCAGCTCTGCATCAAGAATAATGGAAAACGGTATGATATCCTTCAGCAGAGACTGCCGAGCCTGGCTGTTAGTTTGGTAGGAGCCAGCATTCATCAGTGTTCAGGACAAACAGACTTATTCAAAATAGATTTAAAAATGGAGTTTAAAATTTTTGTGACAAGAGACATCTCTCAAAAAAGAAATTTGGAAATAGGGGATTAGGTATCTTCTCACCCTTGCAGAATTTTGCACCTGAAACGTACCAGTGATACCTGGTGGCATAGCAATGAAATTTTTCCAGTTATGCAAAAATTAACCCTTAATTCTGTGAACACAGTCCTTATTGCTGTCCCCAGTCCCTACCCGAAGACAATTTGACCAACGCCGAAGTGCTGGCCACCAGTCAGTAAGACCAAAATTGGTGTTACCCCAGGTGGACTCCATATTGCATCACTGAGCAACCCTGCCATTGCTCCAGACATGCACAGCCCTATTCTGTTCCCTTATGGCCATGAGCAAGGTGATCCTCTCTCTACAGTTATTTTGGAAAGACAGCACCTGCTTTTGTATGTGCACTGCTGGACGTGGTCAGACATCCTGGGTGACAGGCCAATTTGTCACCTACCCTCCCCGAGCTACCAGCACATGCTGCCTGATAGTGGCTGAGCTTTCTGATAAATACCTGGCTGTCCACAGCCTGGTTCTGCAAAATAATCCAATCATTCTTAATTACTAGTAGGCTGTGCAAGAAGTGGCCATGATACATTTGGAAAAAACAGTATTTAAGTACTGCTAAATCACCTGTCTTCCATCCTTTCCTCTTTGGAAAGGTGCTCTGCTTTATTAATTGTAGGATTGGTTTTGATTTTTTCCTGACTTGCTCATTTTACAGGACCCGACTGAGCAGAGAGCAGCTGAAAAGGCAGAACAAAGGGGACAGCTGCCTCTGCTGGGAGGGAAGAAGGGCAATGGGAGAGAGGTAGAGAAGTGGTGATAAGCAGCTGGGGTGTGTAATCTCTCTTCTGGCTTCAGCAGCAGCTGGAACAGTTTCCAGATCACAGCCTCCACAGGGACTTTTTGTGCTCTGCAAAATACAGGGATCACTCTTCTCTGAACCAAAATTTCTGCTTTCCTGCCTTTTACTGCCATCCTGCAATACCTCTGCTGCCTCGTCCAGGAGGTTAGTTTATTTCTGTTTGGGGTTGGAGTTATAATATTGTGTAGCCTGCAGACACTTCGTGCTTTGTCACTGCTGCCAAATGTCTCCCAGCCATTTTCCACCGCATACAGCATGACCCCGTCACCACGTGGCTGAGGGGAGTAGCACGCATTACTTGTTGTTTTAAGTTATTTTCTCACTACTACCGCCCAGGGAAATCAGCAGTTCTACAGTAAGTGTCTTTAAAAGTCCTGAGGTTTTCCTCAAATTCACCTTTCTAAGTAGTCCGTGATAATCCTGTGGCAAAATGACTCTGTAACTCCATTTGCAGTCTTACTCCTTCCACCCATAAAGAAAGAGGGCGAAATGATACTTCACTTATTTCCTCCAAATTAAACGGTTTAGAGATCCTATGTTATTAACCTGCAAATACTCACCTGGAGAGTCAGAAAGTCCCTTTCTGTTGCCATCATAAAAGCCGTGTTGAACTTTCTGCATTTGCCTGCAGGTTGCTGTGATTTCAGTCTCCTGCCATTTCTACAGGCGTTGCCACAGGACTAATGACTACTAGCAATTTAAGGCTGTTTCCCACACTAAAACTCCCTCCCCAGCAGTGGGAGTTGTGCTTTCTGTTTGAATCCTCTGTCCCTCCTGTGGGGGTATCACTGTGTGACTGCAAGTCACTGCTTGCTTTAGCAGAAGTCTGCAGTGAAACTTCTGTTTGCCACCTGTGTTTTAAGATCCGTTCAGCCTCAGCCTCTTACCATTCTTCTGATTCCGTCATTTTGCCTGCAAATGCTAACTGCTCCCTTATGCATTATTTACCTTCTCTCCAGATTGGCTGTGTTCTGTGAATTTTTCATATTTCAGCCAAGCAGGCAGGAATTGATTTTTTTTTATTTTTTTTTTTATTATTATTTATTTCTGTCTGCAAGAGTTTCTGCAATCCTTAGTGGTTTTGAGGGCAAGGTCTTTCTGCAGGATCTCAGCAGATGTGTTGTCTGCTGCTTGGTCAACACATCTGGTCAGTGCTGCCTTTGCAGCTTTGCATGGGCTTTAGCTGCTTTTATATTTGGGAATGCTTTTCTGTCCCTCAGGGCTGATGCATTTACCTAAATATGTCCTCAGTAGAGCATTCCAGTTTTTCAGCTTTAAAATATCAAAGTTATAATTTTCCCCCTCACTTTCTATAAAACCAGGGTGTTTTATTCAGACAAGACATCTTCATCTAATGTTGCCCTGCTCTCCTCCCTGCTGTCAACCACAGGAGATTTGTCATGCACTGTGTAATTTTGCTTCCATTTAGCCTCTGAGCTTGCTCTCTGCTGTCAACGTTTCTTGGGTAGCATCCTGCCCTGGGCACTGCTGCTGCTGTGGTTTTGCTCCCCCAATACCTCTGAGGAACATGTGGAATTAAAGCAGACACCTCTGATTTCTAAATAACTGTGTACATCCTCATATGGCATATTGGCATGACATCAGTGCTGCGTGTTACAGTCAGCATTTTAGGAATCCACTACAATTCCTTTGCAAATATAGAGAGGCATGTGAGATAAAGAGGTAACTGGTAAGCACAGGGGAGCAAGACAAGACAGGTTATCAGCGAGGTGTCCTACTAAAGGCTCCTTGAAGAGGGGAGACAGTGGTAGGAGGGTTTTGCTCAGGCAAGAGGACTTTGCCCACTCCAGTCATCACAAGTCCACCAATTAAAGGCGGTCTCTCCACCATGCTGGCTTTTGATGACAAGGGTAGCTGCTCAGGAATGTAATTAATTTGGTGCTGTACTGGCAGCACCCTGGGCTTGGTGCACACACACCAGTGATGCAGAGCAGCGATGCCTGGCTGGGCAGCGGCCCCAGCAGAGCCTGGGATGAGTCCAAGCACATTCCTGTCGGTGTGTGCTGCCTTCGTGGTGAGGTGCCACAGGAAAATGTGTGTCTGTAGAAGGGAAATAAAGAAGTCCCAGATCTTCCCCACCACCACCCAAAGCCCCTTCTTGTTAAATGAAGTGCGTTATTAGGAAAGCTTCGTTTCTGGACTCCGGTTAAAAGTGAGTCATCAGAGCTGCAGGGGATGATATTTGAAGTTTGTAACCCTTTGGAAATCTCCCAACGGTATGATTTCCCAAAAGCAACTTATGGAGAGCAGTTCAAGAAGTCTGAACAAATTTGCTGTGCATATCATTGCATGCTTAGCTCAGCTAAGTATGTAAAGCTGTGAAATATTCTCATACCAATGAGGCTACTCAACCAATACAATTGCAAAAAAATTTCCCTGGTAGTTTGACAGATGGGTGGTTTATGGGTTTTATTGACTTCTGAGCTGGACTTTTCGCCTCCTTTCTCACAGTGTGACAAGAGTGAAACCCGCTATAGAGGATGAGACATTTAATGGGAATGTGACAAATGTAGAGAATAGCACCTAGGTAGTTTTTGGGATGTGGCCCAGGTACCTATGATGTACCTGTGAAGCACACGGGACCCTATCAGTTCTCACACACAAGAGGACATCAAGCAGTATGGAGAAGGGGTGGATCTGAGGTTGTCTCACCAAGGATGACATTATTCTGAGAGAATAACTCATGGTTTGGGGGTATTTGTGTGTGTGACTGAAAGAGTCTTGTGACTTGGGTTTGGTTTATACAGAAAAGTTATTTGATTTTTTTTTTTTAATCTAGTTCAAGGAGCACTGTAAAGATCATGGAAAGTCAAACTTTTTGCCAGAAGGTGCCAGTGGGTTGTGTAGCATAGCAAAAAAATAATGACATTGAGGCAGATGTACCACCTGCCAGAAAAAGCAGAGTTCCCATGTGTACGTTTTCTCTCATTAATAAATTTACATCAGAAATGCATTCACTGAATATTTTATATTGCTGTGTTCTTGGGAGGAAGATAAAAACAGGGTTTATATTGAAGAGCAAGGGAAGGATGGATACTAACTTTTGGGGATAGTGCAGGAGGCATCACCATGCACTCTGATGCCCCATAATAAAGCTCTGCAAAGTATATTAAAAACCTGAGAAAGAGAAACTGTGTAAGAAGCATGTTCTAGGCATATGCAAAGTTCTGTGTCTTGGTATCAACCTATTGAAGTTAAGCATAATGTTCTGACATCAAGAGAAATGCAATGGAGTGATAAAGGACCTCTAACTAAAAGCCTGGGGCTGCTTCATGAGGCCATTTATTACTTTTTTTTTTTTCAGTAGGAAAAAAAAAATCAAAGAGTTTTATTAGGTGAATAAAAAAAATTGAAAGTTAGCTAGGAAAACATTCCAAGGTTAGGACTGCTACAGTATAAAGAAGGAATTTAACTAAGTACAGCTCATTAAAAAGGAGTCAGATGTCTATAAAAAAACATTAATTTCTCACTGCACTTGAAATCTCTGTTAAAATATGTTATATTTATACTTATGATTGCTTGTTGCTTAATTTCTGCAGGTTTCATGTCATACTTTCTAAAGTAAATTTAAATAATTGCCAAAAGTGTCTTTTTTCTGTGATCTATACTGGAGTTTTAGCCACCAGAGTATTTTACATTATTCTGTTATCACCACGTGGGCTTTCGTTCTCTCTCTCTTACTTACGGTCTAGCAATGAAATATGAATATGAAAGAGTATGATTAAGTTTGGAAAATGTATTTTTGAATACACAATGCCAACTTGTGTGGCTACAGACACTTTTTTGCTTTGGTATGTTTTGTAGGCTGACAATTTAACCTTTAATATTTAACCTTTTCTGGAATTAAAATGAAAACTTCATTAAAAGATTCAGGCTTGTATGAGTAGGGAAAATATCTGTAGTGCCATAAACCTCACTGTGTATATTCGAGTCATTAAAGAATGGGAAAATAATAGGGTGGAGGCATAATTTGCACTGAGAGTATTAATTCACATAATTTTAGGAAGTATGGACTGAAAAGAGTCACATGTTACCAAATTTCAGGAAGAATAATGCATGAATAAATAAAATCCCATAAGGATTAAATTAAAAGGACCCTTAGCTGTACCCAGACTGAAGGAAGAAGCGTGTTACGAAGAACAGGCAGGTGCGATGGATGCCAGCAACCCCCACACTTTTCAGATGAGGTCCTCAGAGATCTGGTGTGATCTCATTATTTCTTCCCTTGAAAGGGTGAGGGGAAGGTCGTATTTTTATTGCTGGACTATGATTTGACAAGTTGAAGGCACATGCTGCTACAACAAGCAAAAACACTCCATGTGGAGAAAACTAGAGTGTGCATGGACAGGCCACTGATGTGTCTACAGATCGTATCAGTGAAATATCTAGTCCTTGTACTTGTTTTTCTTATTCTGGTGCACTCCTGGAGCTATAATTATTGCATAATACTTGCCTTGATTAATTCTGAAGAATACCAGTAAATGTTTTATTTTTTTTTCTAATTTGGATTAGTATGAGCTCCTCCTCTGCTGTTAAAATATAAGAGATCAGAAGTGATGCTTGAATAAACACCGTAGTAATTTATGTAACACCGTGGCAGTTTCAGATATTCAGCATCATCCAATGTTCCACTAGGTGGACTTTCAAAAGCTGGCTTCCGTATTTCACACCTGCAAACTACAGCAATATTGAGTAGGAAGCACTGTGTGCCTGCAATTAATTCTGAATGCAGAAGTGAAATCTGGCACCATGCATCAAAGAGCTTGGAGGCCGTTTCTCTGGTTATTTGCTCAGCTGACTGTATTTGATCAGAGCTGATGTCCTCAGCAGTGTGGTGAGGTTGACATACTTACAGGAATCCGAGTGCATTACTAATTGCGGTCACATTGCAGGATGAATAAGTCCAAGGCTTTTCCGTGCCTCTTTCAGTGCTTTCCACTGTGAAAAACAGAATTGGCTGATTCTTTGTGATCCACCTGGAACCAAGACATTTATATTTAAGTTCCATGTGAACAAGGCTCCAATTTATATTTCAAGGCTACTTGGCTTGTTGCATTTAGACCTTTCTTGTCTTGCAGCTTGCACCTTCATGGGACCGACTGCATCCCAAAGAACTGTCATTCTCAACTCTCACGCTCACAGTACAGTTTCTTTGTCCCTTGCAGATTAAGGTTTTCTGAAGAAGTCCTGCTGAAATCCCTCCATGCAGTTTTATCCAGTTTTTCATAACTGTTTTTGCTTCTCAGGGTGTTTTCTGTCATGCCTAATTTCTGCACAGCTTGATTAAATTGAAAGAAATAAAAAATAAAAAAAGCATAAAAATGCAGAGAAATTACCAGAAATGTGTTTAGTAACAGGACTGACTCATGCCCAGAGTACAATATGAATAAGCAGTGGGAGTGCTTACATGATTAAAACACTCAAAATTTAGTGCCTTACCCCTGTGTACTTTGTTGAAACGTACCACACTGCTCAAAGAGAGAAAGTAGTCTCTCTGGAAAATGTTTGGAGGTATCTGCATTTTTCACACCCTTTGGATCTGTTACTACTAATAATGGTGCCAGTTTCATGGTCTTGTTAGAGGAAGAAGGTAGAAGGTAGGTGGAAAAGAAGCACTGGTCACCCTCCTACCACATCAAGGAGTGGCTGATGAAAACACACACTGAGCAAATGGCAGAGGAATATTTGTAAATAGGGACAAACATAGAAGTAATAGCTAAGTTTTTAAGGAGTTGGCTAAGCATAGAGCACCTCTAGATGTCACTGTAGCATTGTAAAATGTAGATAAGGGAACACTGCAAAGCTGACAGGATGGTTTATACGCTCTGATTCATGGTAAGTGTTTCGGTCAGCCTGTAATAAATTAATGGATCATTAGAAATGCTGTTACCAGACGTTGATTAACAGCAAAAGTCTTTTTGCAATATGTCAGTAAGACTGTTACTAAAAATTTTAATAGAATATTAAATATTTCTAGTTTTCTTTTAACTAACCAAGTTTTAACAGCAAAAGCTAGTGTAGGGTAACAGCTCATTTCTGGAAGGCATTTCTTTCAGACCCTGAGGCTCAATCCTGATCTTTTCTGGGCTGTTTTTATGCCAACAATGATATTGATTACAACTGAGATCATTTCTCCTGCTTTACAGCAGTACCAAGCTGATCAGCTTGGTAGTGATTAAAACAAGCGCTGTTGTTCATGGAAGAAGCATGAGTTAGATCACAGAGTATTTGGATTTGACCAAAAAAATCAAACTGTAGCTTCATGAGGAACAATGCAACATGAACACTGTATGCACTAACATATCCATTGCCTTCTCCACAGGACATCAAAGAAAAGTCACATTTAAGTGAGACGGGAACAAATTCTATAAAAGAGAAGAAACCTCCAGATTCAACAGGTTAGAATTTATTTTATTATGTGTTTTTTTCTTTCTTTCTTTTTTTTTTCCCTGATCTTGTCATAAGGGTACAGCTGTAGAGCCCTTATTTCTTCAGACAAATAGCCCTTACTCACCTGAGCAGCTCTTGTTTGGGTTACATGCATGCTCACCAGCATGGGTAAGAATTGTCCAAATAACATCACATTGCCATCACATCCAAGAAACTTAACTTGTCATGTGCCTATGCACATAGTGGCAAACTGCTCAAGGAAGTGCTTTGCATAAAGGCTTTATTAACCTGATAATAAATTTGAGTGAGAAAAATGTTTTCCAGTGCTATGTCTGAAAGGGAAGAATCTGTGGCCCATGACATCCAGTTTTAAAGAAAAAGTGCTCTGCTGAAGCTTGTAACTCTTCCCTTGCTTATGAGACATTTACGTTGAACATGAAAGTAGGAGAGGAAAGCAAGTGCCTAGTTCAAAAAGCAATGGAAGTTATGCTGAGCATGCAACTCCTACTTTAATACCACTACTGACTGACAGGGAATTACTGACAGATTCCTTGTTGATCTGTTTACTTACAGAGGGGGCCATCCAGAAGAGCCAGTCCTGCTCTCATGAAGAAGAAGTTGATAAGCTCAACAAGGAAAATGCTGAGAGGGAAAGTTCTGTTCTGCTTCAAATGGATCCTCCCAGACTTCATCCTGAAGGGATGCAGAAGGAAGAAAATTTGGCTGTTGAAAGCTGTGACAGACACAGGAGGAGCTCTGTTCAGAAATCCTCCACTACAGAAAGGCAGCAAGAAGAAGAAGCTGTTGATGATGGTTGTCAAAGGATAACTGGGCAGGAGATAGAGAGTGAGTCCCTAACAGATGGGGAGAGGAAGGAGGAACATCAGGTATCTGTAGCTGAAAAACAAGAAGAGAGGAAGAATGAAGGGGAAGGAGTTGCTGATAAGAATGAAAAAAAGGATAAGGAACCACCAGCACTTTCTCCAAATCAAGATGAGGCAGGACAAAGCCAAGATGAAGAGGCAACAGAGGGAAGGTAAGATCTGAAACTTAGGCTATACATTCTTAAGAGATACTTGCTTTAGACAAACACATAGTTCAAGTTTCATGTCAAAGTGGCTGCTTAATATAAATACTTGTGAAAATACAGCCTAATACAAAAGTGTAAAATGAGTTTACCTGTCTGAGATCTAAGCTCTAAACTGAAATTATACCCTCAGAACAGACAGACAATCTATGGTACTGGCAGTGTGCTGTGATGATTTGCTTGTGAGAAAGGTTAGGACGATGGGAAATGTGATGCTATTCTTAATCTTTGAGGAGAATTCTCCCACTCTGCCATGTTTATACATTGCAGCATCATGTAACCTGTGAGCAAAGTAAGGTTAAGTTAGGCCACGTACCAACTGGTAATTAAGTTACTACGACATTTAGTAACTTACTTGGTAATATAAAACTGTGAAACTTCGCCCAGGCAATTAAACTGATAAACTTGTTTACTGTAATTCTTTCTGTGCTGCATTTATATTTAGCCCTTCAGGGATAAACCAGTTTAAGCTCTCAGGAACCTATATGAACAGAATGAAATCCCAGTCCTCTCCCATTGCTTTAAAGGTGAGATTGATAGCCAAATGTTAAAACCAGTAGAATTCAAGTGGGCATTTCAGTAATGGACAAGCATTTTGCTGTCACGATTACTTAGAGGTCATTTTATTCCTCTAAGTGACTATTAAACCAGTTTATTTGACCTTATTATTTTACACTGTAACACAAAATAGCCTAATGCAATATGTGTCTGTGCATTTTTCATGTGTATTTCTAAATTTGTTCTGCTTTATATGTACTGTACTCTAATGCCATGTTTTGTCCTTGCAGGTGTAAAGGCTGCGGAAAAGGTACAGGAAATTATAGTTCAGTCACTGAGCAGGCTCAACATTTGAGCGTAGTAGTAGCAGTACACATCGGGTGAACATTGAAGGCCTAGTCAAAGATGACAACAGAGCAGGGTAGATGCAGAGAGTGCTGTTGGCATATGTAAAACTAAAAAAAGTTCTTACAGGAAGTAGTCCTAAAGCGAAAACCCAAACATTTGATTCCACTGGTATTGAGAGTGATGACAAAGACATCTGTAAAAAAGAATGACATCATGATCATAATTATTAGGGGGAAAAGAAGAGCATGGTAACTGCAAAGGGAAGCAGTTGTTCATGGGCCACATCCTAAACTGGTGGGAAATACCCGGGTTCTGTTTGCTTGCATCAAATATACCAAAATTTAGTGCCTGAGGAGTTGGCTCATCTTTTGTTAGAGGCTTCTGATCTGACAGAAATTAGTAGCAACTGATTTGCTTCTCCCACAACTACTCCACTATTATATGACCATCTTCTTTCCTTCTTCTTTTAATAACAGTGAGCTAAAACTTGTAGATATAAAGTGGTGGGAGAAATTACATCATATGTGGTCAAACTGGTTGACCTTTGGAAGTACTAAGAACACGTGTTAACACAGAATCTACAATGTTCTGGACTTAGACTGCAAAACCAACATTCTTCTATTAGTACCATTGCAATCTGAACTGAGAACAATTGCAGTCTATATAATAAAGAAATACAGACTGTTCTGTGGGAGCTTGACTGATGCTGCCGAACAGTCAGATAAATGGTGTTCAGGCAATGAACTCTGGAGCAGAGTGAAGCAGAGATTTCGAACATTAGGCCTTTTGCTTGAGGATTTCAGTGCTTATCCCTGCATATGAAATGATGGAACATGAGGTGGTGGCCTGATGCACTTGAAGCTATATGTATCTGTGTGTGCACGCATAGGGCACAATGAATTTCTTTGCTTTGGGAGTGGAGGGTGGAGTGGAAAAAGGAAACGGTTATTAGATGTCTGTGCTAGGCTCTTAGATTTGGTAGCAGAAGTAAGAGATGGTGTACTAAAACTGTGAACTCCATTATCATAGAATCATAGAATCACAGAATATCCTGAGTTGGAAGGGACCCTTAAGGATCATCAAGTCCAACTCTTGACACCGCACAGGTCTATCCCAAAAGTTCAGACCATGACCATTATCTGTCTTAAGCTTTTGTAAATTGTTACCAGTGGCATTAATGTTAGTTTTTCTCTATTGGAGCAACTTTCATCTGTGAGAGCAGGACATTTTTTTAATAGGGAGAACTTCCCTTTGGTGTGTATGAAAATTAAAACTGAGGGTCTGTCACTGACAAAATCTCAAAGGTTAAAACTTTGGCCCATAATCTAGCCTCTTTAAATGAGCACTTCCTTGACCAAAGTTTGCTAACATTTGAGAGGTGAGCTTTCCAAAACCCACATTCTTCTGTCACTTACATGCTGGGACTCTTGGAGTTTGTGCCATTATGGTCAAATTCTTCCTGTAGGATAAAGATTTTCTGGGCAAGTTTCGGGTCTCACTAACAAGCAAAGGCTCATACTCAAGGACATGCAATTCAAGCTTTGTAGAATCCCAATTAGATGGCAAACTTCCAGGAGTCCCAGCTTTTCACAATTCCTTGACCATGAACTAACTTCCTGACCATGTAAGTTATTAATACTGTCAAAAAAAAATCTAGGTACACAGCTGGTGTCCTGGAAAAATGGACGTTCACTGTGAATAAGGACAATCCACTGTTACATTAATGACCAAAGTGTTCCTGCCAGCTACATGCTGTCATGGGTTTTTTGTTTGTGTTTTTAATCATTTTCACTGGAGTAATGACCGGTTTAAAATTGCTCAACAAGACCCACACAAAAGGGAGCCAGCATTCCAGACCAGAGAGCTCATGTTGAAACACTGTGGCTCTAGCCCTCCCAACCAGTTGAAGAAGTATTTGTCACCTTGGTCAGCCAAAGGTCGCTCTCGGGAATATCAATCAAATGAAAAACAACATGGGTATGAAATTGAAATGGCAACACCCTGCAAAAAATCCAAAGAGAAATTAGGCATGCAGGGCTGGTCTCCAGCAGGGATTTTGACATCGGGATGGCAGAATGGTCCAGCATGTGAAGGTCTGAACAATAATACTGGAGATCTGCATTTGTGTTACCACTCTGTAGCCGCTGCAGGGTGATCTTGGGAAACCATCCCTTCCCTCTGTCCTTTCTTAGCCTTTATCTGCTTTCTTTTATTAAGCACAGAAACTCTTTAGAGCAGCATGTGTCCTACTACATTGGGCCCTGAGCCATAGTGGAAATCCCAGGTACTACCTGCCAGGATGAAACTCCAACATGTTCACAAGCTCTAGACTCAATCTTTAAAGGCAATGACCATGTTGGGGAAAATGACAAGTTGTGTCAAGCAGATTGTCAGTAGAGAAGGGATTTCTGCACTATGAACACCATAAGGTGTTTCCATGAAGGGAAATGACCTCTTCTAGCTGGGCTTGCAGGAGATCTCATTCTCTCTTCCTTCCCCAAGAGAGAGTTACAGTACATACTCATCTATTAACAGTCCCTGAGGAAAAAAAGAATCTGATTAGAGAAAAAGCCAGATTCCTTGCAAAACATCTAAGCAAATTGCTCAGGCTCTTTGTGAGCACAAAGCTACACAGGCTTAGTCTAGCTCTCTTCACCTTGCCTCTTGCTATTCTTACTACTCATGATGCAGAAAATGCTAACTAAATTAGGAGTGCTTGTCTTGATAGGGTAGCTCCCAATTACAACACCCTGTTTTCTGAGCCAGAGCTCTGTAATAAAACACTTTCTAAATAGCAAGAACTATCTATATAACTTACAGTAGGTATATTCAGTTCTTAGCTTATTTGGGGGGAAGAGGGACTAAAATATATGAGACATATATGGGCATTGCTTGTGACCACTTATATGCTGTTTGTTTTTTCTTTTGTAGATGATAGTTCTACTCCACCAGCACCATTTGATCACCGGATTGTCTCAGCCAAAAGGGTGGGGATCAGCAGTTATTATAACGTCAACAAGAATGAAATCCTGGGAGGGTAAGTCAAGTGAACCCAATCAACACAAAAAGCAAGGCAAAAATTTACAGCCAGACACCCCAGGAGGTGAATGGAAGCAACATACCTCACTAGAGTCAAAGTCGTGAAAATCTAAGCTCTAACAGTACTTTAGAGAGGAATGAAAACGGGAGGCTGATTTTACTGTGTAAGTAAATTTTGGCTGAAGGTTTGGCACCACCAGACTTGGCTTGTATTTGGTGTTGTTCTAGGTCAGCCAGCTGCCCTCAGGCTCTGTGATGGTGCTCCTATGTTGCTGTAGTAGTTCACATTGCAGCCAGCAGAATGTAGAGACATGTAGGTTTCTCCCCATCAGCACAGCCCATCCCTGAAAATACATGCATGTTTTCAGATAGATCTGAAAGCTAATCTGTCAGGCCATGTTGCTTGATGAGAGTTTCTTGACCTCTCATGATGACATAATTTAGTGTAGAGTGATATAATTTCTGATAGCAGCATGGTCTTAGCAGCTGCTAATGAAATCACATCCTTCCCTTGGAGTAGAATGATGACATGGAGAGAGGCAGACTGTACACTTAAGTGAGTTATTATTCTTACAGTATGTATGGCTGTTAGCTTGCCTGGGATACCTCATAACATATTAAAAGCTTGTAGATGTAATGAAGCAAGTATTACTGAATCATACAAATGGAATATCAGCTAAAACAGTGTGATTTTGGTGCACCTAAATGAGTAGTAACAAGTTTAATGTACACAACAAAATAGCAGTGATAGAGCAACTGAAATGGAGCTCATTAGGGAGAGGATCATTTCTGTTGTGTATAACCTAGTTTACATTCAGGACCAACACCAGCACCACTGGATGATTTTTTTTTTTTCTTTTTTCCATAGAGGGCGATTTGGTCAAGTGCACAAATGTGAAGAAAAAGCAACAGGTCTCAAGTTAGCAGCCAAAATTATAAAAGCCAGAGGTGCTAAAGAGAAGGTTGGTAGAGTCTTTTTTCCCTAATGGATCCCACATTGCTCTTCAGCTACAGGTCTGACCTGCTTTGTAAACCTCATAGCCATCCGGGGCTTGCTTTCACAGGAAAGACATGCACAGCATCCTTTCCATGACAGCTGTGTCATTAATGGCATTCAAGGGTGGGATTTGTCTCAGCCATCTGTCTAAGGCATAGCTGTCTGTGGCCAAGCTGATCACTGAGAATCCCCTTATAGTCAGTGGAGAGATTGGCATCATTACAAAGCATGTAAAATAGCTGGGCTGAATGGAGGTACCAGTCTTTCTCCCCTGACTGCAAAGGGAGGTTTTGAGGACTGTCTTGGACATTTCTTACACATATTGATTTTTCATACCTACAGCTGGTTGAAACAAATCCTGTTTCACTTCTCTCTTTTCTTTATATATCTTTGAACACACCAGTTGCCCATCAGTGCTCTCCCTCTTTCTTTCCCCTTCCTTTTTCTCTTAATATATAATTGAAGCAGTCCCATGTTCAAGCTATGAGTTCAGTCCAGAGATATCTACCACTGCTGGAGCAATCAAAGGCAAACCCTGGGTATGGGTGCCATGAATGAAAACATGAAGATAATGTAGATGTTTGGTTCAAACTGATGATGTCCTGGTTCATGTAACTTTCTTAGAATAAAGGCTTCTGAAACAGTACTCATTATTTTTTACAGGATGAAGTGAAGAATGAAATAAGTGTCATGAACCAGCTGAATCATGTGAACCTCATCCAGCTGTATGATGCCTTTGAATCCAAAAATGATATTGTCCTAGTAATGGAATAGTAAGTGTGTTCTTTTCTTTCCCTTTCTGTCTTTACCACTTTTGTTGGAATTATCTTTTTCCTTCTTACTTTCTCCTGATATTAGATATAAGACTTCTAACAGGTGAAAAGATATAAAAGATGTCCCCAGGAATAAAAAATAAAAATTCAAGAATTCAAGAAAAAGTTGTCCCATGGAACCATTTATTCGTTTTTTTCAACTGATGGTCCACACTACCGGTGCTTTAAAACCACTACCCCATTTAAAGAGCTGTTATATAGATTCACTTTAATTTCATGTGGTATTTTGTGTCAGCTAAGGAACAGACATCTCAGAATATCTCCAGTTCTCTGAGGCAGATGAAAAAACATCTTACAGTGAAGAGGAAACAACTGTACACATAGCAGATAATCTTTATATTGGGTCCCCAAAAGGATTAACCTGGCTTTTATGCTAGTTTATCAAGCTAATTGGGTTCAAAATTGCTGGCTTAAAGTCAAGATAAAAAGATGTTTCAAGGAAGCCAAAAAGAATGTAATTAAAACAATGAAATACATGGGAAAAGGTTAGAAGTCATATGATCTTGATTCTTCAGTATATTCTCATATACATGTAGTCCTATTAACTTGATCTACATGTTTAGCATAACACCAAAGCTAAAAGTCTGTGTAGACATGAATCGGTAACCTGGAGACATTCTGAAATGTAATAAGACATTAAAAAGTTATTTTCACTGATTTTTGGTTGCTTCACACTGAGATTTTGGATCACGTTCCCCTTAAACTCTGAGGGAGAAGGCCAAGTATTTAAATGCAGATTGTCTAGCATATTGTCTTGTTCTTCCATGTGACTTCATTAATTCCACTGGTACAAAATTACACCCCAAGATGGCATATCTCAATGAATGGGAGACTGGGCTCTCAAGCCTTGAAGAAGCTTAGGACAATACGCATCAAAACCCAGTACTCATAAAGTTGAGATCAGAGTACAATTTCATATTGCAAACCTCCCTGACTGTGAATCATTAAAATAGTCAATTGTATAACTTATGTATTACTGTAACTAATGTAACATGGGTTTGTAACATAACTAATGTAACATATGTTACTGTAACTACTGTAACATGGGTTTGGATTTGGGCTTGGTCACCACTTCATTGTCTTTCTCTCATCAGTGTGGAAGGAGGAGAATTATTTGACAGAATTATTGATGAAAACTGCAATTTGACAGAGATGGATACTATTTCATTCATAAAACAGATCTGCGAGGGAATTCAGTACATGCACCAAATGTACATTCTTCATTTGGATCTAAAGGTAGAGAACTGACGTGTTTGTTTTGTGCAATGACAGCTGTAGAAATTCTCTTTCTTAAGGGTAGGCCATACAGCTTAGCAAATTCCCATGGCAGAAACAACAAAAGTCCTTATTCTGCTTTCCTTAAACTGGTGGGTATTTACTTTAACCACACTTTAATCATTAGTTAAATCCTTACTGGGGTAAGTAATTTAGATGAGAAATGTGGTCACATGTCATCAAGCCCTATAGCTCTTGAGTTTTCTACAGAATTAATTTACAGAAAGCCAGCAACTGGCTACAATATCTTGTTATTTTCAGTTTTGATATTTGGATCTCAAGATATTGTGTGACTATTACTTAATCCAGCTGCACAAGATCTCTGTCTTATGCATCAGCCATGGGAATTAACTGCATTTTTACCATGTAGAAGCCGAGACAAGAGTGAGTGGAGGGTTGTTCAAGGGTCATTTGTGGTCTGTGAAAACCCAACATATCTTACTAAGGTCTATGCTGCACTGTTGTGGTCATGAAAAGGCATCAGTAGATAGCCAGCCTGAGGGAAAATACATTAAAATATATTTGCTAAAATGGAAGCAATAAAAAACAGTCAGTGGCTGATGGAACAGATATGGCATCTCTGTGTTGGACTTAACAATAGCTGCCAGTACAGCTGAAAGTCCAGAAAAGAGTAGCAGATTCTCCATCAGGAGCTTGTTTAGTTTTGTGAACTACTTAACTGTATACACAAAATTTCCCCTTATTTCTTTCCAAAAATGAATTCACAATTGCATGTTCTTACACTGGTTGATTGCTAATGATTAACTGTCACCCCTCAGAAAGTATGTTGTAACTGTATTTTTCATTAAGCTGGACATTTAAGCTGCTTCTTTCCCTTAAACCAGGTTTTTATCAAATAAAAGACATGTTTCTTACCATTATTTAGTGCAGGAATAAAAGGGGATGATGTCTTAAATTTTATGGCTTGTTATAAAGCCCCCTAATGATCCCTGAGCTTTACAAGAAAGCAAAAAGAAACAAAAAGTGCACAAGAGGGGTTTCTCATTGGTGGGATTTTTATTACAACCGCTGTTTTTGGCATGTAATAACTGAGTTAACATAGTACATCTTTAATGTTGTTAGTGTTGATATTATAGTACTGGTTAAGCAAATGAGCAGATGCTTATTGGGATCTGCTTCAGTTGTTGATCAATGACCAGATTCACTTTTCTCTTTGTTTATAAACATACTGATAACTAGAAAATTTCACAAAATTCTTTGGGGCATGCTAATTAGGTTCTTGGAGATGGCACAGTTTTAATATGAGGTCAAACTGCTGACATAAAGACATGTATACAGTCCAAGAAATTCTTCCCAGAGACCTCTCTTCTCATGAGTTTGAGGAAGAAAGCTTGAAATTGAAAGAAATTCATCCTGACCGTAATCATCTAGGACCTCAGAAAATATGGACATATGGTGTTTAAAAGTCCTACATGTAAAAAGAATTAGTAATGGTGACAAAGGTTAACTAATGTTTTAAGTGTTGAGGGCTGTTTTATTTCAAAGAGGACTCAAAGAGCAACAAGACAGAGTAGCTATAAAACTGCTGGCAGTGAATACAAGACTCTATTTCAGGTATTTACATTTCAAAGACAATTGGCCAAATTGTATTCTCAGTCCCTTCTATATGAATTTGGACAAATTCTAGGAAGCCAGTGGATTCTTGCCAGAGCATGAAGAACTACACTTGGCCATGTGAAAATCCAGAGGGATTTAACCTGTGAATCCCACCTTTTGCTATAATATCTAATGAAAATGTGAAGTTGATGTGGCTAGCATAACATACCAGTGTTCAATCAGTTACTGCCACAATATGCATGAACTCAGAAACATAAAGCTAAAAGATAATTGTAAAAGGTGTTGTTGTTTTGTTTTTGTTTTTAAATTACAGTGTCAGCTTAATTAGGTGTGTAAAACAACAGTGCCAGCATCCTGAAACCTCCCTTTGGAAGTCTGCGTTCTCTACCCCACTTCCCCTAATGACTTCTTTATCTGAACTGCTGCCTTATGTCAAATTGAACTGCCAAGGAGAAGAAGCAGTTACAAGGCACAGAACACCCAACCTCGACTGCTATGTGATAGCAGGGGGTACCCATGCAGAGAAATCTGACCAAGGAGGAAAGCAAAAGATGCTTTTTTCATGCTACAGTTTGCTAAAAGCCCAATTTGTCATACTTGTTTCTCATTGAAGTGTTTCTGGTTTCTCTTGGCAGCCAGAGAATATCCTGTGTGTGAACCGAGCTGCAAATCAAATAAAAATTATCGATTTTGGATTGGCAAGAAGGTATGTGCATGTACTCTTGCTAGTTGTAAATGAACTAGGAAACAGCTTAAAAAGTATCACATCTCTGCAACAACACATTTGACACACAATGGTCTCCTGCTGTTCCTGGGACAACGATCTTTTTATGTATGGATCTTTTAACTAGGGACATCTTTTAATATGGAATGTTTGAAGTTGAGTAAAAAAGTTTTGTTCTGAAATCTTTTTTGGGTGAAAGGTTGAAAGATGTCTGATTCTGATCGAGCATGCACATATAAGTATATTGGAACAGCTGAAAAGGACAAAAAAAATGATGACTCTTGTCTGGTCTCCTGCCCCCAGTGTTATGAGGTTCTTCAAAAGAGAGTGTAAGAGGCCATCAAAGGCTGTTACAATACAACCCATGCTATATCACTTTCTAGTTTAAGAAGATACCAATCCTTGAAATCTGAATTTCTTCCTTTATTATGCCATTTGTTTTTGTCCTGAAGTATGATATAAAGCTTGCAAACATTTTTTATTCTTTTATATGTTTACATTTACTATTACTTTGTACTTGTGTCTGTCCTTGGTTTCCTCCTGAATGTCCTGTATGCTTCCGAAATCCAACTGGACAACTTAAAACATAACTTTAGAGCTGTATTTGATGTCTTTTGGTAATGTTTCCTTTGCCTAGATATAAACCCAGGGAAAAACTTCGAGTTAACTTTGGGACTCCAGAATTTCTTGCTCCTGAAGTCGTGAATTATGAGTTTGTCTCCTTTCCTACAGACATGTGGAGTGTAGGAGTCATTGCTTACATGCTGTAAGTAGGATTCAGTCTCTGCTTTGTATGCTGTTTCTAGGTTGAAGTGTGTCAGTCATCCAAATAGATTGTTATACTAGAAGACTGACAAAATTTGTAGACAGCATAGAAAATGTGGGCCTCTTTCCAAATTCCACATTCAGGAATCTCCCCCCTTTTTCAAGCACCACCAACTTTTCTTCCTTGTTCCATTGAGCATCTCTCTTGAGCAATTGGACATTACACTTTCAGAATAATGTAGACCTCTTGATAAACTGCCAGTAGGTGTGTACAAGAGTGGACAGTGGTCTGGAAAATGAAAGAATGTAATGAAAGAAAATAATGCTTGGTTTGTTGGGGAAAAAGGGTGATTATTTAAAAAATGTAAGTAAAAGAGAAAGTGGGAATGGTCTGGAAACTTTCTTAGACAGTAGCATGCTGCAAGGTGGACCAGGAGTAACAGAACAATCACAGACAGCACATCAAAGATTATGTACAGAAATGGGCAAAGAAGGATTTAACATATTTCTTTTTACTTTAGCCTCAGTGGATTGTCTCCCTTTTTGGGTGATGATGACAATGAGACCCTCAATAATATTCTGGCCTGCAGCTGGGATTTTGAAGATGAGGAATTTCGAGGTGTTTCTGATCAGGCCAAAGATTTCATCTCAAAGCTTCTCATCAAGGAAAAATGGTATATAATCACTGTGTCTTTTTTATATATATATATTTTTGTGTTCCATGCCATTATGCCACAGTTGTATAACTTATACTGCCCCACTGCAGAATTATCATGACTTATCAAAGTTTTTAATGTCCATGTAAAATACTATAATGCCACTTAATTTATGTTCATTATGACCATAAAGTACTCTGAAGTTACGTGAATGAGTTTTTGCTTTCATGTTATTGGTTTCATGGGTTAGCTGCCATCTGGCATAAAGTATCCTGAAACGACAGCATTGCATGATGGCAGAACACAAGAGCTGTAGGAGACAGTTGTTGGATTGTAATATTCTGGGAAAAACACTTACTAGCATTCTGGTTTTCCTTTAGCTGGAGAATAAGTGCAACTGCAGCCTTAAAACACCCCTGGTTATCAGACCACAAGCTCCACTGCAGACTCCAGGTCCCTAAATTTAAATATCCTTGTGCATTGTAGATCTGCTATTGCCTTCTCATGTTGCAATGTCACTATTTGCTTTGACATTTTTCTCATCTGTTTTTGAGTCCACCTTTCTGATGTATTTCTTGCTACTGTGAGCCATGTGTGTCCCTTTGTTTTTACTTAGCTGTTCTAATTTGCATGCTCACACTTGCTTATCAGTTCTTGCATGGCTGGGAAGAAATATATCATCATGGGACTGGTGTGTGTTGCTGAGTGGATCCATTTCTTAGCAAAACAGGGTTGTTTAAATAATGGACACAGAATTACCATATGTTGAAATATGGTAATATGAGGAGTTTTTCAGCTGGGGATGATTCTGCTTACGTCTTTGAAAAGTCTTTCAGGCTGTCCTCAAGTCCCCTATGAGTGCTGTTAGATTTCACCCTAGCTCTTCGCAAGGGATACTTTTCCCAGTACAGCTTGGAACATCAGCCAGTGCATATCTTTGTATTTTAGCACCTTCTTGCCCTTTAAGTATAATCAGCTTAGTGGCAAGAAGAAATACAGCCATTGTTCACCCAAAAAATTCCTTTTGGCTGAGTTGGAGAATCTGTGTGATTTTAAATCATTTTGATTATTTCTCTCTTAAGTGGTCAGTAAGTATGGAAGATTCAGACTGTTGATGAGCTTGCTGTTGGCTGAGTCTAACTGAGTCCATGCTGTGGTTTAGTGGTTCAAGGGGGGATCATTTTGAACAGGTTTCTATTTATTCTTTTTTTTTTTTTTTTCAGTTTCAAGTGCAATATTCACTGTTCCTTTACAGGCAAAGCACATCTATGTTAAATAAAATGACCGCTGTAGTACCTAGGATTTATATGTCAAGGTGCCTTTTGAACTGCAGCCATCATTAAGAGTTAGTAAACCATCTTATTAATTTATACAATAATTTTATTAAAATAAGATCAAAGATTGCAAAGATAATAAAACAATAGTACTGCTGGTGAGGTGGTGTGAGTTTTAGGGAGGATGGACTGAGTAGTATCCTAACAGCTCTAACCTTGAGAGACATTCTTGTTACACAAAGTAAGGATAACTAGAAATAGGATGAAATGGGAAATACTAATAATCAAATAAATTGTTATCACTTTCATTGAAATTTAATTACCTTGATAATGTCCCAGAACAACAATGCCCATAAGATTATTAGATTTATAAATGAGCATACACAGTAAAAATAAGAGAGTTTGTCACCTACTTTAGAGAATTTCATAGGATAGCATTCAACCCCTTCAGTTTTGCTCCAGTGAAGCTCTGATTGCTGCAACCTGGAGGATAGGTTGGCTTTCCAAATGCTGCAAAGACATGAGCTGCTCACCTGGTATGCTGCTTCCTATCACCAATTTTCTTCTGGGAAAATCCTTCCCTCATAGAAACCTTGCAACTCATTTCATCCTCGTGGCATCTTCCCTGGTGTTTTTCTGTTTGTACCTCTTGCACTTTCTAAACTAGCTTCACTAAGCATGCTGATGTTGCAGTGCTCTGCCATTATATTAACTAGAGGTAAGATGGGACTGATCTTCAATGAATACTCTGATAATGGCAACTATCTTTCTTTTTTGTTTTCCACTAGAAGAAGGCTAAAGGCACCTGTGTGTCCCAAGCACCCCCGGCTCCATAATCCCTCTGAAAGAGCTGCCAAACAGAAGGTTTGTATGGGGTCTCCAGTGTTTCTTCAGAAGTAAATACCATAACCCCTGTGTGTAAGGGATCAGTGGGAGGCCGAAAACCTCTCACAGTCCTAACTGCACAGGCCAAAATATATTCACCACCACCATCCTCACTGTTGTTTGGAAAGCATTCAAAATATAAGCTGGCCCTATCACTTATACCAAGTCACAGCAATGTATAAAACCCCTCGTATATATGAAGCCATATGTGCTGCAAACCCTGGCCATTTTAGAGGGAATGAATGGTTATGCTCCCCCTGACTCTCATGGGGCAGGATTTCACCCAATAACTTCTCAGTGTTGAAAGCTTTCAGGTTTTCATGCTGTGGTTAGGAGTATGGTTTTAAAGGGGTAGAAATATGAAAAGTAATTACTTTTTAGCAAAAGCCCGGGCCAGACCCTCAGGGCAGTTCCAGTAACTGTACTGAAAGAAAAGTGAGGTGTCCCCTAAAAGAAGCTGCACCACACTTTAGAGGACCTGATTCTGACAGGGCACTTCTCTGCTCTTTCAGTGTGTAGCAGTCAGAACAATCTTGACGGCATCTCTTTGACCTTTTTTTTTTCCTTTTTTTTTTTTTTTTTTCCTGGCTCCCTGTCCTTGCCTTTTCATCAACAAACTCTTAATTCGTGGTTCTCAGGCTGGCTTGGCTACCTCCCCCAGGGTGGCCAGCAAAGTTGCTCTCATGTTGTGTCTCTGGTCTTTGACCAAAGCGTGCTCACTCAGCCACTTCGAAATCCGGCTACCTCAGGCAGTGCGGTATCTCCATAAACCAGCACACCAATTCCCACAGCCCCTTTTTACAAACTACCACAGAAGGTGGGGCCTCTCTTGAAGGAGCTTGGGAACCACTCAGAGCTTCTGGGGGCATCTCTGGACAAGACTCGGTGGAGGGTCAAGATGCGAACAAGTCTGAGAACACACACACTGTAAAACCACTTCCTTTTAATCATGCGTCATGCGTAACAACCAGGATACCAAAATAAACGTGGTCCACTTCTCACCACATGCAAGTTTTTAGTGCTGCCATCATCCATCATCCACTCAATAGGGCAGGAGATGTGGTGGGTTTTACTTGCAATGGGTTTGTCCAGAAACATCTAAAAAAGACAGATTATTGCGAGCGGTTGAAATTTTTGTTCTGTTTTGACTAAACATAGGATTAGCACAGATTTTATAATAGTGTGGTGTAGTCCCACACCAGTTATTTATCTTTAAATGAGTTATTTTAAGTATGTGAAGCTGCCTTTCCATGGTACACTGGGGGTCAGTGAAGGCTAAGGCTCTGTTCTTATCTCCTGCTTGCCTTAAGCCCCATAACTTCCTGATGCGTAGTGTCCCAGCATCACCTTCTGCACTGGGAATGCACTGGGAATTAATAGCTCTCTGCGATCTTCAGCATTCATCCCTGCTTCACTGGTGCTGGGACAGGTTACACGAAGCTTTGGTCCAAACACTGGTGCACTTCTACATAGTAAATTTCAAAACTGATTTTCCCAGTGGTTTGATCTGTGTTTGCCATTTCAAGATGCTGTCTGCACAGCAACCAAATGCTGAAAACACTCCTGCTTTCAACCAGGAAGCACCATATTACACAAATTTCTATTGCAACCAAGATCATCTTTGAGATAAATTGTCTGTCCAGCGGCAGTCAAAATTATTTTTAAATAAAACTTTTATAATTTTGTAACGTAGTAACTTACCCATGATCTAACCAGCAGGAAAACTTGCTTTTGGCTTTTGCAGTATTTCCTCTGAGAGTGTTTTTCTATTTGGCGTTTATTTGAGTTTACTTAATGAGTGGACCTAAAGTCATAGCACTGTTTTGTTTTTAAAGAATCCCTTTAGCTATTTTTATCAGGCAAGTAGTGTGGTTGCCATATTTAACCCAAAATAATACACTCAAGTGCCAGCTGATTTAGGCCTGGCATCATAAATGCTTGCAGCGGTAACACAAATAAATGGAGAGGATTGCACCCTCCCTTTCCATGCTGGGATCTGTATGACAAGAGTGGCAAAAAAAAAGCAGAGTAGCTACATTTCAAGGGAGACCTCCAGGACCTTTTCTCCCCTTAACAAAGAGGCCTTGTCTTTTTAAGGTGTCTTTTAATAAGGTGGCTGCAAGAACCCTTTGTGAGCAAGAAGCTTCAGCACTGCTTTCTTTTCCTTATGCACAAAGAAACCGCCATGTGGTTGTCCTAGAACGCTTAACCAAATAAAAAAGCACACTGCTGAATTAACTGGATTCTTGTTTTGTTTGTTTTGCAGAAAAGCTGCTGTGTGGTTACTGCTGCTAAGAGATTTGAAAATATCAGCAGTCTTGGTGCTTTACCCCCCTGCCATGACCGAGTCTTTTACTAAATGGACCAACAGCATTTTAGCTGCAGGATAAATCCCAGCATTGCTGAGCTGCTGCTTCTCTATTCAGCTCTCAAAAGAAGGAAAGTATTTCTCCAGTTTGAGGAAGGTGTCTCTTCTGGAGCACCACGTTCTCCATGTCTGGGAGTGCCACATTTGCTTGGTTTCACAAAAATCTTTTCTCTATCTTGCCTTCATGAGGGTCATTTAGTTTTCAAAGCTTGTTAGGATTCAAATTATCAGGTTAAATTGACTGTTTCTTCTCAGGCAGAAGGCAAATTGGCACTGTGTTATATGTGTAGCCAAAAATGATTTGACACTGCAATCAAATAATAGGAAAAACAGACAAACAAACAAAGAGCCAATTTAAAGCTGCGTTATGTAGATTTGAAGTTTGTTTTTCCTGTCATCCTAAAATGAGCTAAGGATTAGCTCAATGAAAGTTAAAGCCATGATAATGTACTGCCAATGGAAGTGAGAAATTAGGCTTTCCTTGCAGGTAGGTGGATTTGCTGCAACCATGATGCATTTTAGGATTTTTTTTAGCCTGTTGAATTACTGTTCATTTTAAATACTCTTGTATTCATTCAACAAGAAAGAAAACAAGGCACTAATCACTCATACCCATGCAGGATCTTTTCTCCATTATGCAAGTGTAACTCAGAGCTGCTCCTCATAACCTCTGTTTTTCTAGTTTTCATTTCTTATATTGCTACCAAGTCCTTCTGACTCCTAAGTAAGGAAAAAAATGGGAATCAAAACAGCTGAATTCTTTACCTGATATTGTTTGAGTATGGCTCTTCATTAAGTGAATCTGAATCTTACTGGCCTATGCTGCGAGGTTAAAATAAGAATTATTCCCTGCTGTATATGGCTTTCTCACTGCTTGGTTTCAGAACTACATACATGCAAAATATAGCAAGTATTTTATTCCATGATGCTCACATATCGCAGTGCCGTTAGGTTTTCTTTGATTAATCCAGTTCTGATCAAACATATTAACATAAAAATATCTATATATTTATCTATACATTTCATACATATTTATATTTGAATTATGTCTTTTATTAAAGGGGATCAACATAAAGACAAAACTCAACAGCGTTATTCATCACTACCCAATGCATTGTTTTCATACCTTTGTCCTTTCTGAATAGCACTCATATATGAAATAAAAGGGGCCCACTAATGGGACATCACATCACGACATCCTCTATAGCCAGTTTGATCCAATGCTTTAACGCCATTGTAGTAGATCTGTTGAGACTGCTTCTGTAAACAAACAGGGCTTTTACAGCTGTGAAATCTAAGAAATAGACGTGTTGTAATAGTTGTTGCAAGTAGATGAGAACCATTACTACAATCACGCAACGTTTTACCATGTAACTATGATACCATGTAGAGCACTGCCACCTCAAAATCCTTATCTGTAGTCTTAACTGAAGTAAATGTTGACTAGCAGAAATGGAAGTCTCTCTGGGAAAGTTGCTCTTGAGCAGCCTCAAAGCAAGGAAACCAGAATATGACCTTGAGATTGAAACTAGTTTGCTTATTTTTAGTCACCATTCAAGTTTCCATGTGCAAACAGAGAAGCTACCTTTCTGTTAGGGCTGGAATTCCCACTCCTGTCTGATTACCTTCTTAAACAGTTAGCTTTTTGTGCAGTAAACAACTCAATGGTCATACCAACATACAGCAGGCTAACTTTGGAATGACAAGATCTCATTGTGCACTTCAGTGCCAGTATTATAGGTTTGAATTTTGTTTTTCCTGTGGTGGACATTTACATGAGTATGAATAATTGCATGTCATTTTGACTCTTAGTAACTATACTAAAATAACAGTGTGACTATAGTCTTATCTGGTTTGTTGATCAGTTAAACTAAGAGAATTTATCATTTGTAGATCTGTGCAGCTGAGTTGTGATGCAGAGCTTCATGCCATAAGGATCAGCCACATGTTAGGGCGCGTTGCACTAAGTCAGGCACTGATACTCCAGGACTCTACTGGGGAACGTGGCCTCTTGCACACAGCCACAGAGATCATCTGTAGAGCTCTCTGTCAGAAATACACACATGTAAATTACTAGGGAGGGTGGACATATTTCACCTGCTTTGAGAGGGAAGGCCCTTTCGAAAGGCACAAATCAAGGAGGGGCTACCTTTCTACTTCCTTGCTTGTGCAACTGGGCAGGGTGCTAATATTTTCGAGGGATTTAAATTCCACTGTCACTAACGTGGATAATGATGGTCACATTCTTGAGTCTTGTCTGTAAACTGCCCCACTGCTCCTGTAACGAGGGATGAAGCAGGGATGGGACAGTTGCAGGTGGTTTGACTGCGCGAGTGTCTGCAGTGACTGATGTCTGGCACAAGCACAGGACTACAGGTGTCCAGCTGAGGAGGAAAAATCCCAAGCATACTTCTTGCTATTGCCCCAAAGACTCTAGATTTAAAGCATTATGTGCATAATGTGCATTATTAAGATCTTAAGTGTTATTAAGGGTAAAAAACAACTGCACTGCTGCATAATTATCATTACTATGTGTAGTGGTGTGCCTGAGAAAAGTTTCTCCAGAGATGCTTGTTTGTATCTTTGCTGACTGTAGCAGTTTAGTTAAATAATACTTGACACAGCTCCATTTTAGTGCCTTCCTAATTGTGTCTCGTTGCACTTTGAGCAGCATGCTGTTCTGTGTGTGTGTAAGTTTGTTGTTGATTGTTTTCCTTAAATATATTCTATAATGACTAAAGACTGCTATAATAAGTTATTGTTTTGACACATCATTATTTATTTTCTACTAGGTAACAATAAGTTGGTTAAGTTCTAATAAGTCAACTGCATCTATGTGAGTTTGCTTATTGTTCATTTTTGTTGCATATCGGTTTGAGAGACTTTATTTGGAAACTGTGAACTTCCGTGCCTGAGAGCGGGTTTAGGTGTGAAGGGCACTTTACTTTAGCTGTAGTTACTGCATTCAGCTCTATAACCACAGACAGTCAGAGGCGGCTGCAGGTTCTGCAAGAATCACAAGGGAACAGAATGATCTGGAAACATCAGTTGTGTTGGAAGGGATAAAGTGCCAAGATGAAGTATTTGTTCTGCGTATGCCATTGTATTCTTCCAGATGTGCAAATTAGAGGTCATACCATTGGAACAGAGTGATTTATATCAGGCGATGACTTGACCCCAAGTTTGCATACGGACTCACTGCTAGGCTGCAGCAAGGAAAAGAACTTTCTGTTCACACAGGCAACTTCAACAACTACATTACACAGCAACCCTTCTGCAGGAATGACCTGTGGGAATTCACAGGGAGCTGAAGGCACTCTCTGGCTGCCAAGTTCTCCCATGGTCTTGGAGGTAACTTTACTTAGGGAAGCACAACTTAATTCGTGCAGTACTTGTGAGAATTAGAATGCTGTTATTCCTAATTCTGTAGATAACAGCAGAGAGACTCGGCTAGATAAAACCTCAGAGTTTTGCTCAGGATATACTAGAGTAGTCTAACATTAGCATCAGAGTTATAAGCAAATTTGTTTCATTCAAGGTGGGATGCTAGTGGCTTTCCAACAATTTTTTACATGTTGAACAACCTGGAGGCGATGAAATGGGTAAAAACCTCTACCACATAAATATTTCCATACTATCGAATCCATATTTGTGCAAACCTGGAGCCAGTCACTCCCCTGAGTACCCTCGTAGAGTAAGCAGCTGGCAATCTGTGACAGTCTGGTCTGGAGATTATAACAGAAGCTACGTTTTAATTTCTTTTTCATATTCCTTCTAATGACAGAAGTGGAATAAACTTAAAGCCTAAGCTAAACTCTTCTATAACTTGATTCCTATCAGGAATAACAGTGCAGCTCCACAGATTTAAACAAGGGAAGCGCTTGGTCCACATTTTGAGATACAAGTAGCACAAGAGCCCAGTTTAATCTCCCCTCCTCACCAAAAAATAAAAATATAAAAATAAGTTTAAAAAAAAAAAAACAAAACACAACACTACTTTGCCCTAGTCCTCAGCAGTTAAAATACAAAGAACCTTACTTTTTAGCAGTTGAAGTAGTTCAGTGAAGATACATTTTTCTGCAGTGGTTAAATTGCTGTAGTAAGGGTCAAGATATTTTAGCATCTTCAGTTCAGTGCTGATATTACTGGCAGTGTCTTTCAGCAAAATGGTCCCCGCCAGCAAGTGTTCTGCTTTTTGCCACTGATGGGGATCTGAAAACTGCCCATCCCCTTCCCTTGGCCTCACCAGTAAGCAGAGCATTTCATAGTTTGTGGTGCCTTAATATAAGATAAGGATTGTAATTCTGCTTCGTGTCAAGCCCGCAGTGGTGATGAATGAGCACCGATGCTCCAAACTCCTTCCTGCTTTCGAGGAGGATGCTGCATTTTCACATCCTACTTCTGCTGTCACTGATATATACTTGTCCTCATGTCTCATGTGAATAAAACTAAACACTGCATGAATCCATTTAGGGACATTAGACTCTTTCACCTTCCATGAAGGCTTAATAGCTGAACAACTAACTACCTGTTTCAAGTATTAGATGAAGACTGGTAGATATAATGCTTTGTAAATACGTTGTTTAGCTATGTCAGTAGAGTTAGCAATCACATTTTGGTGTGGCAGAACTAATGTTTGTGTACCCCACAGCAACTTCTCTTAGATGACAGGCGTATGAGAACTAAATCACAAAGCATGTGGATTTTCATGTACCGTATCGTTTTCCTTGCACATCTGGTTTTGTAGATTAACTCATGTATCTCTGGTACGTGTTCTTTTGTGAAAAACATAAAGCAACCTTGTAAACAGATGACAGGAATAAATGCTGATTTTGTTTACTCCATGGTTTTTGTTTATTGTATTTAATGTGCCTGTCATTTATGCTAGTAAGTAATAGAAAGAAACAGTGACTTTTTGCCAGGTACTGGCTATGAAGGTCTCTAGGTACACAAAGAAAGAGTAATTTCCATTGAAACAAATGCAGATACCTAAGCCAAAGGTCTGCTCAGGCTCACAGCTTGTACTTTACTTACCCCTTGTAGCAAAGCCACTGCTCTCTCTGCAAATCACTAGGGCTTGGCGTACCCTTGGACAAAATCTTGCTGCATGTCCTCAGATCAGATCAGTGGAGAGGAAAGAAGAAATTTCTAGTGCTCGTTCATTCAATGTAGCTGGTGCCAGTCTCTTCTCCCCAAATAGTCACACTTTGGACTGTTGGCTAGCTATTCAGTATTGCTGTCCAAGGAACACACTTGTGCAATGTCCTAGCTCACTGACTAATAAAACAGCCTGAAATCAAATGGATGCTTCCTGCAGTGTTAAATTAACCTCAAATTGGACTATCTAGTTAAGAAAAAATAAATAAGAAATGTTATAGGATGAGAAAGCAGGAAGCAACCTCACACTGGCACTAGGCTATATTCAGTAGGCAGCACTTTTCCTCCAAGGCTTATGCACAGCTCTGGTTGCAACACTTGAGACATTTACCATGCTTTAATACTTGAGGACTGGCTTTGATTTCTTACAGTAGAAGTCCCGCTTAATTTCAAGCTTTCCAGGTATAAGATCTAAGCATGCAACAGGACACCCCCTGGTTAATTTATAAGTTAAATTGACCAAAGAGTTACCCTCATCCCTGGGGGAGCGCCACACTTCTCACCAACAGAGCAAAGCCATCACAACCCAGCTGGTAGATCCTGGGGTTGGAGGGAGCAAAGAGCCCAGGAAACAATTTTCTGAGAGCTAAGTATAGGACACACAGCTGTTGCCTCTTACCACCGGCTCGATGCAGCCCTGAGACCACCGATCCTATCAACTTGTGCTTGGTAGCCTCTTTCTCAGTGCGTGTCCTATGCAAGGAGGCGAGAGGTTGCTCTTACAAGTGAGGCTGTGAGGCCTTTGCACAAAGGCTCTGTCCTCCCTTTCTCCTGAAAAAGTCTTCTAACAGTCCTTAATGTTATCTGTAACACTCTGTTATTTGGGATTATTGAGGTGCTGCACCCATGTTTGCTCTTCATTTGCTTTTCTGAAGCCAGTCACTTGTTTCTTTTAGTTTTAAATGCTTTTGACCCTCATGGAGGAGTTTTTTTCCTTGAAAATATTAGCATCTGGGCTTTATAGCTGATGAGGAAGACTTTGCCGTAGTACCTCAGTCATCTCAACAGCTCCTGCTAAATACATGCCACTGGCAAAAGTAAAATAATGGGGATAAAATAACACTCGGCTCCCTATATGTGTCTGTAAAGCAACTCCACACTTTTAAAATGTGTTCGCTAAGTGCATGTGGTTAAAAATATGTTGACTACAGGAAAAAAAGTCCAACAAGGGACATTCATAATTCTTCATTAATTAATAGTCAACCCTTTTTCTCCCCCAATTATTTCAAACACCTGCTCACAGTAAATTTCCTTTGCAATTTTTTAATGCTACTTTAATATTACCCAGGACTTGGAAACATACACTGAGCTTCTCTTAGTTTTAATTATTTTCAAATTAATTTTAATTTTCTGAATATTTTCAGTCCTGCCCATTTGTTCAATAAAACTGAATTTTAATTTTAATTTTTTATTTATTTTTTTTTCTTAAAGGCCTCCTAAAGTTTCCAGAGACTGCTTTTATGGGCTGTTTTAATGAAAGGTTTTGGAAAGGGACTGGAGGCTTCCAAATTCCTCTCTTGAAGACTCCTCATCCAAAAAGAAGGGAAGGAAAAAAAAAATCACTTCACCCAGGGTGACTCACTTTTCTTGCCCACGGCAGGTACTCATTTGGGAGCTAATCCATCACGCACTAAGGGAGATGTGGGTCCCTTGGGTCTTGGTGACTTTGGTGAGAGGCGAGGACACAAGGATCCAGCTCTCACAGCTCCAGGTGATGCTGTCTCAGGGCTGGATGTGCAGAGTGCCTCTCGTCATGGTCATGAAAAAAAAAACCAACACACAGAAACAACCTTTGACATCCTAAGATCATAAGCAGGTTATTTTCTACCCTTAAATACCGCGAGCAGTTATAAGGAAATAAACACAAGCCAAATAGCGCTGGTGTGAACCAGGAAATATGTGGACTGTCCTCCCCTCAGTGCTGCTCCTTGCCTCTGCTGTGCTCCTATTTTATCCTCAGGTGCAGAGCTGCCTGGCCCAAAGCTTCCTGACCTGCACCCATCCCCACTGGGTACACGAGGAACATGCTCACTGCCACCAAAAATCAGATGTGAAGCACTCTTCAGGGCATAACTGATTCTTATCCAAATCAGAAAGAGGAAGGGAAGGTGAACCTTGTCTTTTTCCGGACTCACCCACCCCTCACCAGATAACTTAAATGCACCTCATCTCTTTGCTTTAGGTGTCCAGTCATTGTTTCATAAACTCTTCTTTGGCTATCTCCATAATGTACGTAGGTGTGACATCTGACCACTGAAAACAGGTCATGGCAAATGATGTTCAAGGGTGATCTTGGTCCTTCAGAAACAAAACTGGGTCTGCAGAGAGGATACTAAAACACCTCACTTAAAGTGAAGCAAATTCCTTAAATATACCAATTCTATCTTGGACTGTGTGGGCTCAGGGGCTGGAGATGGCTTAGAAATACATGGCAGTGTCTTGCCTCACTGAAATGTGTTATGGTTGCTGTCCACCCAACTGGTCACTGTTCAGTGTGTAAGCATGCAGCTAGCTTGATTTCCTTGCATATCAGCGAGATGGATCCTGAGCATGATGCCTTCCTGAGCTGTGGCCAAAATCAGCAGCCGGCCAGGACCACTGGGGTGGAGCTGGGAGCAATGTGAAGGTGATATCCCCACGGGGAGCATCCCAAGAGGCGATGCTCAGGTACCTGCCCCAGGGCCAGGCAGCTGATGCTGAGCAAGGATGACGCTTGAGACACCTTGCTGCAAACGGCTGCTGTGGCCGCGAGAGGTCAGCATTGTTGTTTCTTATTCAATAAAACGGTCCCTTCGTTCTCTTTATTGAGGGACTGCCTTGGAAAGTCAAGCTGTATCCAGGCCTGCCCACGCTGGCTGGGGTGCGCAGTGCTGTGGCACCCCCAAGCCCCACTAAGGGACCGCCTCGCCAGCCATCCATGCAGAGATGGGTGGCCTTTGAAACCCCTCCGAGTGATACAACACTTTATTTTCAGGCACTGCACTAAATACAGGTTTTAACCTGTATTTACACGATGTAGAAGGACCCTAGGGAAGTGCCTGAGGTACAATACCAGAAAGGGATCAGAGGGTCTGTGCAACATGGAGACTGGCCAAGGCAAATGTGGGGAACAAATGGAGGAGCCAGGAGAGCTTTTTGCTTACTGCTGTTTCATACCACTCTCACTTTAGCCACAGCGCTACCTTAGCTCCTCTGCAGAACGGGAACAGCAGACAGATCTGATTTAGGATTTGCATATAAATCAGCTGACATAAGTGGAAAAGCATGAAGAAACGTGCACACCCCTCTCATAAATAGAGAGCTCTTCACCATATGGTCTGTACATAGAGAGAGATATTAAATGAGATACTAAATGAGATATTAAATCCATTGAGTGAGATGTCAACCACTATTCTACTGCCTTAAATGGGAAGTGAGAGCATTTGGCAACAACTAGGGCTGGTTCTTTATGTAGTAAAACACCTATTCTGTCTTTGCTCTGTGCACAGAAATCCTGTGGTTGTCCTGAGGAAAAGGACAAGAGCAGAGGTCTCAAGTTCCATGTGTTATCTCTTCCTCTGTTTCTATAAAAGCTAAACGAACGTAACTGAAGTAGAAACAGAAATTATATGATCTGAGAAGACTTCTCTGATGGCTATGTCTGCTGTTCAGTACACAAAATAACATAAGAACTCATGCAATTGCTTTTTAAACTTTTTTTTTTTTACATTAAAAAAATACATCTTATGTCTTCTGCTTTTTTTTTTTTTTTTTTTTTTTTTTTTTTTTTTTTTCACCTTCTAGACTTTGGGTCTTGCCCTACATTTGCCAGGTTGAACAAATCCCTACTAGCAAGCATTTTCTCCTCACTTATGTGCTTCTAGACTGACCAAGCCATTCATTACCTTTTCTTTAAGATAATTCTATTTCCTTTTTTCACCATTTTCATATATCTTTCATATGCAAATGTTTGCTTTCTGATACCATTCTTAAACTGCAGACACCATAATACAACACAGCATGCCATTATCTGTCACCTCAGTGTCAGGTGTAATAGAAGCATGAGGTCCTTCGTATTCATTCCCCGTCTGCCCGTTTCTGTGCTCCTGGTTGCCATTAGCCTCGCTGTTCATCAGGTCAGTAACTTAGAGCAAAGACCTCCAAGTTCCTAGTGCCTGGTTTTTACCACTTACCAGGACACAAGTTCCCAGTCCTCCAGCAGACCTGCATTCCTTTGGCTCTTGGCTAACAACATCGGCGGGTAGGTGGCAGTCCCTGGGCTCCCAAAAATAAATGCTGTTTTTCCACAAGTGGCCCTGCCTTCTCTCCATGTACCAGGTGCAGAACCCATAAGACAGCAGTGTCTCAAGTCAGTCCAAGGTTTTTCACCCCAGTCCCTGGTGTCTGGAGCTCTATATCCTTTTGATCAAAGTTTAAATTCCAAAGAAAGAAGTGGCATCAACAGAGAAGACTTGTTATGGAAATGTTGCATAAATAAAGAAAGGCTCTGTTTGTGGGGGTCAAGGGAAGGAAAACATCCACAGCAAGTATGCCAGTGAGCTAGGAAGTAATCCAGGCTTAAGAAAAGTCAGAAAACTGGCTCACTGTAAGCTCACAATATTGATGGTTGTAGGAGTGAGGAAATCTAGCAGTATTACATTTGCCAGTGAGGAAAAAGTACTTTTGAGAGTTTAGCGGAATGTTTGAA